AACCGGCAATTGCCGTCCCCCGTCGACAACCGTCCCGTCGCCCGTCCCGTTCCGTAGAGAATTTCTGAGCTCACACGACGGACCGTTGGGCGACGGTCCGTGCCCGTTGCTCACCCGTCGAAACGACGGCCGTGCCCGTGACGGGCACGGCGTGCAGCCCTATGGGAAACTAAGGACGAGTAAGATGGCTAAGAGACAGAATACACACGAGTTTCTCTGGCGGGCCCTTCCAGAGGTCCTCGTGTCCTATTCCCAGTAAAGCAGTCGTGGCCCGCAGGGAGATGTAGGAAAGGAGACTGAGACTGAGATTCTGAGAACGGGTTTGCTGGCGATCACATGATCCCGGGTGATCTCGGGAATCTTACACAGCCACCATTATCGACGGTGTCTGCTTTACCATCACACAGCCACTGGTAGAGCAGACACCGTTGGATTTAATCTTGTTCCACACACACTCTCTAGCTATTGCACTGCTGTAAAACTGTTGTCTGGTGCTTCTGGATGCCCTCTATGGAGCCAAAACCTAAGGAACAGTGAGCTTTGAGTTGAAAAATTAATGTTACAAATATAGTTGGTGGACCTATAAACCAGTTGACTTAACAATTTAAATTCATGATCATGACTTCTGAAGTGCAGGATCTACAATAGGATAGCATACTGTAACTAAATTTCAACTACGTCGCCCTCGGTTCAGTGACCAACAAATTACCAGGAACTCCCGATTAAGCCCAAAAGTCCCTTTTGGACGCTTGTACACTGTCAGGTGTGTCAGGATATGTCTTGGTTCAATAATGCATATCACCCCAGAGGGCTGTGCATCAACGACTGCAGTGTTAAGACGAGGCATTGATGTGAATGGAAGTTGAGACAAGGTATTTGGTGGGGGAATACTATGCAAGTTTACTGCAAGAAATGTCTGCATCTGGCCTTGGAGGGGAACTTCCCAAATGGCTTCAATAAATCCAGTAACAATCCTGGAATCTTCCGGGAGTTTGAATTGTATAGCACTGTTGCCGGGGTGTGAGTGTTTGCAGCTGAAATTACACCCATCCAGTTTGAATTCTGAAGGCTGCATTGCCCGGGGCGGTAGAACCAAAGCTCCATCTGGATGGGGCAGCTGCTCATAATGCCGCCATGGTTGTCCAGTTGATCTCAAGTAATTGAGCAGCTGGTGATAGCTCTGGGGCAACAACTCCTTTCCTGTAGCAATGATTTTGGCAACCTCAGCTGTATTTAAGTGGATCGGGGCTCTTGAATGAGACTCTCGATCCAAAATTGAAGCTAGTCCATGGATGGGTCCATCTGTGAATTGATCCTCACTTAGGAATGCTTCCAAACGGCCACGACGGGCCACTTGAGTGCACATGGTAGTTGGCATATCATCTATACATGAATTAGGAAAAGCATAGGCCTCTGAACCAAAAGAGTACATACCAACACGGCGATTATGTTTTGTTTTCTGTGAAATTCCATTGAATCGCTCCCCTGGAAACTCACTAAGAGATGCCATAGGTCCCCAGAATTTGAGAAGTTGCCCATTGTGCATCGCAAAATGGTGGTTTGACATAGAATGGAACCCTGGGAAAAGTGCAGGTAGTTCAGTTCGATATTGAAGGTAATATTCGGTATATTGATCTGCTTCTGTGTTTGATGTTGAGTACGAAGAGATGATGTTGGTGCATGCAATAAGGTGGTAGAAATTCAGGAGCAGCTTTTGCTCATCTTCATCGCTACTATTCCACCATAATTCCGGAATGATGAGAGGAAGAATAACACTAAAGAGAATGAGATATTCTTGAGCCTTCAATTTCCCATGTTTAGCTTCCCCGAGATTCTTTGGTGGGCGCCCGACCCAGATAGGTAAATCAACATCTTTGATGCAAGTGCGAATGGCCTGTAGATGGCGCAGAGAAATTTCGAATTGACCTGGAAAAAAGTCTTCATCATCCTCATCTTCATCGTCATTGTCAAGAATCATAGTGCTTAGAGTCGGTGTAGTAGAAGCTGCAGATTCTTCATCATCAACATCCATATCACTATTATCATAGGCAAATTGTTTGTGCTGTGACTGTGCCTCTTGTCGCTGCTCTTGGTCCAAGTCATCAATTTCACTTGCAGATTCAGAAATATCCGATTCAGAGAGATTTTCATCCTTGTCCTCCTTGATCTCTCTACCAATACCCCAGAGCCTACGCAGGTGGTGTTGTAGCACACCTTCGAGCCAGTTGTGCATAAATCCCAAGACAACATGATTAACTGGATCCCAGTGTGGCAGATCATGCATTGGTGTCCATCGCACTCCAAATGCAGTAGCCAATTCATTTTTCTTGGTTATAGTATTTGCTGCCTTCCAGGCCTGTGCCTGTGCAGAAACCGTATCACAATTTCGGAGTACCCATGACTGATAATCAAGGTTCTCAATATCTTTATGCAATAGCAGACAAAAGGAGCAGAAGCAATTGGCATTGTGCGCCAGATAGCCTGCAACCTTTCGAATAGCCTGAAGATCCGCAAGAAGTGGAAGAATTCTTCCAGCCACAAGGACACCATTTGGATGATTATATGTTGGAATGTTCTGACCAGGAGGTATAAACTGGTTAAACATTTCAACAAATGAGACCAGAATATGTGAGATAGTCCACACATCCGGGGAATTCGGGGCTGGTATCATTCCAATAATGAAAGTGTTTTTCAGTAGAAAGCGCACTTCCAGAGGTAGACTCAGGCAATAAAGGATAATGGCCCCACAGGAAACCACCTTGCCTAGTGATACGTTAGCTGCAGAGTGGTGATATAGGTGTCAAACATACCTGCAATTTTGTTTGTATAAGGATTGAACCAGTCAATATATATTCCCCAGACAAGATGATAGCGAGATAGCAAGAAATTTCCCAAGCTGCGCCAGGCAGGACTATCTTGGATATCTTTCATGATCTCCGGAGGTACAGCATTCTGTCTCTGTAAATTTGCCTGGAAACCCTGCTTGAGTTGTGCTTCAATCTCTGATCTGCCCAGAAAAAAAGCCAGCCACGAAGAAAATGACTGGGTAGCATATTGGCTCTGTGGAACATTTTTGATAATGCCCTTCCGTGTCCTGCGCCGTTTCCAGAGTTCGGCCTTACATGCTCTGGCTTTCTCTGATTTCTTCCAAGTGCATGTTAACGGAAGCCCTTGAAGGGGGTACAGTGTATAGCATTTTGGACAACATGGTGTCTGGATGATGTCTGGATTCATGTCCCCTGGTAGATGGTCCGAATATCTTGAGGAATATGAAGGACCGGGGTTTCTACCTGGAAACCTTGAGAGCGTAAGACACCAAAGATTATATTTATGGTTGTTGTCAGAATAAATTGGATTGCCTTCAAAAAGACGCTTGAATTGTTGCGGCTTAGCCCAACGTGAATATTTAGCCAGGCTGCAAGCGTAGTGCATAAATGGACCACGGGGGAAAGAGCTACGTGCACATGATTCAATCTCAGGTCAACCCTGATATTAATGCATTGCCATACCTTTTTCAAAATCTGCAGCAGTTGGGCCTATGGGCTCCACAGGTTTAGATTTCCTTCTACTCTGCTCTGCTGGTGGGGGAATATCATGCATTCCAATATCCTGGGCTAATTGGGCTCGAGCATCACTGGTCTCGTGAGCCAAACGAGTTGACTTATGAACTGATTGACCAGGTTGAAGTTGCCCATTTACAAGATGGGACTTCTGAATGCAGGACGTACAGGTGCAGGTGGGCATGGAAAGGGGAGGAAGTGTAAAGAACACGGCGGTTTGCACTATTAAAGCATAACTGTCTCTGATTATCACACGACTGATTGACAGATCTTAGATCAAGAGATTCTCCGACTGCCCGACAATTCCCCGTGTGACAATCAGATTGGCCATATTTACGTTTCACCTGCCCGCTGACCTGCCTGTCTGGCAGGTAAAATCATAGTGCCCCGGGTTTTGCCTCCTGTGTCACACAAGGTGCTTTGGGTTCCTCTTGCCCAGAGGGCAGCCACAATTGTCATCAGCAGAGTTTTATTCTTATCTCCTGTCCATCCTTCCAATTCAGAGGAGGCTACATCAATTGTAAGTTTCCATACAAAATATTTAGACTTGAGTCTGAAGTTTAAGATCATATTGGCAGGGGTGCTCTGGATGACATGCAGGATTGCTGCCAATTCACCACTGTTCTGAGTTGCTATATTTTTGGGGACTCTGACTGATCTATTCTTCAGCTCATTAGGCACAAACCAAGCTCTGCCACCAGAACAGGGATTACCATCCCCATTGATTTTAAGGATTCCCGCAATGTATATAATGTAGAAAGACCCCCCAGAAAAAGGGGTAAAAAATGACCACCGCAGGGCTCGAACCTGCAATCTCCGTCGAAGTGTTTTTGAGCGAAGCGATCCACGTGCGTTAGGGGCCAAGTGTTTCTGAGCGAAGCGATCCACGTGCAACGCATGCCGTGATCGACTCTCTGCAACACACATGCCATTGCAAGTGATCGACTACACATGCCGCACAGGACGCGATCAGCGTGCAGCCAAATAGCATCACACGTGACCAACTCCCTGGTCTCCGCATCAATCCGCCCTCACACGCTTCACGCCGCATCAATCCCATGCCCGCGCATCAACCACGTGCCCCGCCAGGCCACGGCTCGTCCTGCAATTCCCGGGCCGGCAGCACCTCCGCCCGTTCAACACCGGCCCTTCCATTCTGGGACATTGTGAATAATGCTGTCCTCAAATTTGGCCATGGGACTCCCATGGCCAATCACGGGGGGAAAAAAAAAAAGGGCGCAAACCTTGTATATTTTAAATACCAGCCCGAAAAAGCGCAAAAACTGGACGAGTGGAGGATCGAAATCTAGACGTCCCGCAAGCAATAAGATGCAAAGCGGGCGCAATAACCACGCTCGATAAGACCCCGACCGTTGAAGCGGCCTCGGTCGGTCCACTGAGCCGGCAGTGCATCAACCTTTTGACATTTCCAAAAAGAAATGACCCTGCTGTGAGTCGAACACAGAGTCTCTTGATACCAACTAAATCGTAGTCAAGCGCGATAACCATTTCGCCACAGGGCCATATCAACCCTTATCAATTGCATTTAATTCAGCCTGGACTGACTCCAGAAATTATAGCTAGAACCTGAGCTGACTTTATTATGAACATTCTGCCAAAAAAGTATGGTGGAGGCTGAGCGCTGAGCGCTGAGCCATGGCCGCAACTGGCTGTCACGTTAGCCGAGTCCCACGAAACGTCACTGGATCTGCAGCCCCTGCTACCGTCTTTCTTCTTGCTCTCGTCTTTGTTTCTTGTCATTTTCTTGCAAATCTTGCACGGCGGGATCCACTTGGGATTCGCCATGGCAGGCAGAGCCTCACGCCGTGACTGTATTTCTGCCTACAACTTGCTGGACGAGCAAGGCAAGCAGGGCATTGAAGACGACATTCAAGAGTCGTCCGGATTCGAGGAGCTAGCGGAATGTACTATCTCTCGGCGAGAGCAAGTCCGTGGCGACTTGGAGGAGTTCTGGGCCAATGAGGGTCATGGCGATCATCTCTGGAGTGCTCCCCTCGAGCAGATAACCAGCAAGTTCAACACTATCTGGTGGATATATGCGCTGAAACTTAGACAGATTTGCTCTTGAAATGGTTGACCATTAAGGTCAAGTTGACCAAACCCTCACCCCGCCGGCCCAACGCGACCCATGTCGGTTACACCACGCTCAAGGGTTGGCGAATGTCGATCGTCCGTGTCGTATGTACCTGTTTGATCTGCGCGTCGAAATTGCTAACAATGCCTGGTTGTCGTTGCAGGTCAGCAAGTACGTCGAAGACGGCAAGAAAAAGTTGAACGACGGCGTGTATGATCGGATCGTTCAGCACACTAGCTGGTTGACGGTTACATACAAGCTGGAGGTCCTTCAGCCGGACAAAATATACTGTGGGCGGAACGAGGTACGCCTCCTCACCGAGGAGATCTACGCGAGCGCGGTCGACGCGGAATGGGCTAGTTGCACCATCTTATACCCTCGTCGGCCCTTCTAATGATATCTCTTCAGGCAATCCAGAACGACGTTGTTCTCAAGATACTCTTCATGACGGGAGTACGTCCTGGGGCAATCGGCCCCGCAAGTCCGCGGTATGAGACCGAAGGGCGTTTTTTGAAATGGAAGGTGATTCATGCCCACCCCTCTCATCATCGTGCTTGTTTCAATGAACATCGACAGCACATCAACATCCAGGTTCAAGCCTATGCCACATACCTAACTCGTATCGATTTCACTGCTCTCAAGGGATACAATATGATCGCTGCAAAACGGTTCGCGGCGACGTCCAGCTTACTGCATCCCTCTGATATATTGTCCTTTCTTACAGCCACTCCTCAAGTATACGCTCGTGTACGCGACCAGACAACGTTGTATTTGACATTGCCCCGCCGCTCCTGTCACTGGCCGTGATCCGGGGGGGATCAAGCGCATCAAGACTGTCCAGGCCTTGTTAGAGTCAAAGGAGGCGGTGATTGAGTGGGAGGACTGGTTCCTCGAAGAACCCGTAGCGCTGCGAGGCAAGATAGGCAGGCACGCAGGATGCCAAGCTGGCGTGCCTCTTCGATCTCGAGGTGTGACAGACAACTTGCAAACGATCGGCAAGAAAATAAACTTTCGTACGTGCTTCCCTATATTTGGCATCGCATGGACATGATAATCTTTCTGTGCAGCTGCTATACGCGCATACGACTTTCGTCGCAACTATGGCGATGAAATCGACCGCACATACGGAGAGTCTGGCGCCCGCACTGGTTTGTCTCATAGTGATAATTCCAACACATATGTACGTATCCGAAACCTGCAACAACGTTCTTACCTCTGATCGGGTTTTTTGAACAGAACAACAACTACTCTCGCGGTGCCGCGAATCACGACAGCGCCGGAGCTGTGCTTGGTGAGCAGCTGGTGGACCGCAGGGTCCTTCACGAGACACGAGGACCGGCATTGCAGATGAACGTCGGGCTGTCCGGAACGTCAGCACGCAGTCTGACGGAGCTCAAGCTACAGCACACAGCGATCCGTCAGGGCCAACAGCCCGTCGTCGTCAAGCGCACTGCCGCAGCGCTGATCACTCCGTCTAGTGGCCCTCCTGCCGAACTCACTAGCACGCAACCTGCAGATGATGCCACCTGCCGTCAACACCCTTTGTGGCTGGAATTTACTTCCAGCACTCTTTACGTCCAGCGAGAACAGACTATCTCTCACTTATTGCAAACAGTCAACAATGCCTTAATCAGCATACCGGATCCGAGCATGCGTCCACGCAATGTACGCGCGTCAACAATCAAGGAACGCCTCACCACCTACTATCCTTCCAACCCGCAGCTGGTCCTGGACCAAGCAGAATGGAAGCAGCTGACTGGCGTGCACCAGGCCGTTTCCCGTCGAAAACTTGCCGCCATAAGAAAGTTGCTCGGTGCGGGCGAAGCAAAGCCAGTGGTGGCTTCCGAGGAAGGATCGTATGTAACCACGTATGACGACATGCAGAAACGAATGGCCCAATTCGCTGCACCATCGGCGTTAATCGATGCGGCGATTCAGCGTGAGTGTTTTTCCGGTTGATCTCTGCTCTGTTGGTAACCAGTCCGTCAGATGCCGACCTGGGACTCGGAACATCCTCGGCGCCAGACATCGAGCAAGTCAGGCAAGAAGTCAATGTCGATGATCTAGTCGACCCGGAATTCATAGAATTTGAGGAGGGACCGCAGGACGAGGTAGACGTCGACGAGGTCCCTGCCTGGGTCATCCGGGCTGGGTACATGCGGTAAGTTCCGATGTACAGCGCCTATTCTAAACAATCATACGTTGACAGGATGATTTCGGGTTGCGGACATAAAGTAAGGACAACATGTCCAGACTGCTTGACGGATCCGACCGTACAGGAAGCGGATAGGACATTCGAGTGGACTCTCTACAACCTGAACAAACATCGGTACGCAGTGTCCAGTGGTCAACGCTCCGCTCCATTCAACTGGTTATCTAGTGGCCACTTCCACAAAGTCAAAAATCAGGCTTGGCGATGGAAGGAATTGCACAACGCATGCTTTATTTGTGCAATCGACGGCGAAATCCACAAGTAAGTTTTAGCAGCTCATTGTCACATTCCTGCACTGAGAAATTACAGGTTCACGTCGCAATCTTCCTACAATCGGCACATGAACCCAATCAAAGGCGCCCATTCAGGAGACGCGCGCTTGAAAACGAACAAGCCCAGCAAGCCAGCTCCAGCAAAGATGGACCTGGTGGTGCGTCTGCCCACGACGTTCATCTCCAGGACAGTCGCGGAAAGATACGACACTGTTCTGTCCGCCATCTTTCAGTCGATAGAGGTCCCGCCTTGTTTCTCAGTCCCGCGCCATGTAGAGCTCCGTGACGACCCGATGCAAGACGCTCGCGTGCGTTCCGAATACTTCTGGAATCCGCCCCCGCTCGAACAGCTTGTAAACACTTTGGCGATCAAACGATCCGCGAAGAGGATTCGCGTGTCCAAGTACGCGTTCAGATTTGTAGGCGATGCTCTGGAATGAAGATCAGGCGCGGTTAGGATAGTAATGCACACGTTGTTTGTTGAAAGGACATTTCATTATGAATATGGGTCGTTGTACTTGTGGATCAGCTACGTACAATGGTTTCAAGAAGGTGTGCTACAGGTCAAGAAACAAATACACGAAGGGGTCAAGAAAATAATGAAAAAGGGGTAAAAAATGACCACCGCAGGGCTCGAACCTGCAATCTCCTGATCACGTGATCGTTGGTTTACGGAAGCACGATCGTAGTCAGACGCGATGCCATTTCGCCAGGCGGCCGTCATAATAGTGTTTGCTAATGCCTATATCATGGCCAGTGGAGCTCAGTCCTCGAGCACTTTGTCTGCGCTTCACTAGCACATCCTCTCGCAACGCGTCCAGACGCTTTTACCTGGGTCGACACGTTCGCCGTCGCTTGGGGCTTCATCTAGACCGCACCCAGTCGTCCCGACATTGACGGCTATGCGCGCGTTCAGCGACGCACTCGAGGCCACGGGAACACGGAACAACAGCCTGAAGGGCTGAGGGTTTCGCCCGTGCGCACGCATGCTGTGTTCGTTCGTCTCCGAGGCCAACGTCATGTTCAACTGCCGTGAGGTCACCGACCGAGATGCTTTTGCGTCCGTCAGGCGGGCGCGGTCACGGGCAAGGGAAGGGGCGGGGGTGGGATGACGGAGGCAGCGCGGCCAAAAGGCAAGCTGCGCCGCAGAGATGCGTGCGTATGTACGCTGTGTGATCTGAGACGTTCGTGAAGCAAAATGAGGGGCAAGGGAGGTGCAAGCGCCCGCGCATTTCGCGAGCGAAGGACCTCCCCGTTGCGGCGGGTGCAGATGCGCCATTTTGGAACTTGGAAGACGACCATCATCCAGTGGCGGTTCTTCGATGTGGTGTGTACATCTTTTTGCCCTCACGCTCTGAAGACCACTAGGGATCTCTGGGGCCGGAGATGAGCCAACGGGGCAGCGCAGCGGGAGGGTGGAAGCAGAGGAAAACCCAACGAAGGACATCCGAACCTAACAACTACAAACTACTATCTCTGGCACATCGACCATCCACGCTCCAGTCAGACGACCGTGGCAGTAGCCCATATATTGGGCTTTGCGCACGCATAGAGCGACGACTTGCGCGCAGAGAGGCGGCCCGACCCCTCGTCTGGAACGTTCGTTCAAGTGGTGCGGCGCTCCTTCCACGTACATCGTCGCCATTGGCGCCCAGCCCTCCGTCCTGGAAACACCTCAGAAACAACCACTTGTGCCAGCAGCGCACGGTCTTTCCCCCGCTCCTCTGACCACCAGACGACGATGCTCCTGGACGTGAACGGGCACACCACACCTAGGGGGACGCGCGATCGTTTCGGAATTGCGTAAGTAGGTCCGCAGCGGGATTAGACGCGAGGGACGGGCGGCGCACTTAAAGTCTCCTCGCAGTGCCTGCGGTGGACACGCTTGCTGCATGCATACGTCTCGCACGCTAGTCTTGCCGTCTGTGGACACAGTGTACCAGGGATCTGAACACTTCGCGGATATAGCGCCGCACGCGTGTTGTTTTTAGGGGCGCGATGAGGTTGGCGCCATGTGCATCACGACCCGCGCAGAAAACAAGCGTGGGGCATTCCACTCGCATTCCCTCTGCGCGGCCACAGAGAACCATGACCAACTCATCCGTTTTTGCGTAGGGCATCACCCAAACGGCGACAACTCAGTCGTCATCATCTCATGACGTGCGCGCATTTGCACGAGTCGGCAGTTATCCCACAGGCGCTGGATTTGGTGTGGCGTGGTGGCACGGCTTGGCATGGCTTGAAGTGTGGAAAGTGAGCGGGGCGTAGTCATCCGAACCCCGTCGCAGACACCATATCCCGCTGCGCTTGTACGCTCTAGACTGGAAACGATAGGTAGTTTCATTCAGAGGCGGCGGTCTGCCTGTTTTATCCAGAAACCGAAATTTAACAATTGAACAATGTGGTATTTGTCTACGTGTATTATACTTGAGAATCTCTCTCTGGTCCTCTATCAGACCATTGGTATTTTACTTTATCCGCTTATGGCCCGATGATGCCCGGGATTTAGATGTACGGAACCAATGTGGAACTACTGATGACCGTGAGCTGCTTCAAATTGGTGAGCTAGGTGTGAATGGAAGTTATGGAACAGTGCGTATTACTCGCTACTCGTGAACAATACGCTTAATTTTGTTCAGAGTCTTACCAGCGTATGTTGCTGCTGCATCGCTCTCATTCATCGCTGGACAATGGACCGTAAAAAAAATCTGCCACGGCTCTGCTTCACAAGCCTCCTCGAAACTTTCCGTTGCCAGGAATCCCGGGCGAATCGTTGACGCGTTCCGGGTCATGAAATTCCTTGCATGCATAGTTTTGGTCTTGCTTGAGCTCACAATAACGACTCGGGCAGTCAGTACTTGGGAGAATATCGTGTTGTGCTTGACTTATGCAAGTAGATCTTCTCGACCATCCTCGCCTGTTCTCATGACACGTACTAGTTATATACAACGTTGCTTGCTGCCTTGGCCTTTCGGGCATCTCCTCAATTTGCAATCCACCTCAACGTCATCCTCTTGCTTTCTTTCACCGTTTATGCGTACCGCGACCTATGGCCTTTCGCCACTTTCACCGGACATCCGGAGGACGGCACCCAAGGATGGCTATTGTGGGCTAAAATCGCGGTCCTTGCTGTGACCTCGATTCTGTTGCCTCTGGCTAGCCCGCGACCATACACTCCTGTGGATCCCAAGGTAAATTTTACACATTGTTAGCAGTATCAAGTAACGAGCCGCTCGTAGAATCCCATGCCGGAGCCAAACACAGAACAGACATGCTCGCTCTTTTCAAGTTTGACATACAGCTACCTAGACCCCTTATATTTCGCGCCTACAAGCAGGGGAAACTCTCATCCGATGAACTTCCTGTTCTTGCGGATTATGACAGTGCAGAACATCTCATTCGGAAAGGGTTCCCAGCATTGGATCCCTATAGTAGCACCGCCAGTCGGCACTTATTCTCCGGTTTTTGAAAGTCTACAGTTCGTGCCTTGCTGCTTCGTAGATTCCTTTGTACTAAAGTGGCAGTGAAGGCAGAGAGTACATGACACTGGTTATTCTGGTGATAGGCAACGTGATTGGCCCGTTTGCTCAGCTATCACCTTGACTGAACCAACAGCGGTAGGTTGTATTCCAATTCGCGGGCCCCATCGCTTTGAACCGGCTCCTCGTGTGCGCATACTCTCACCGTTGGATGATCGTGTCTAACCCCTACTAGTTATCTAGAAACCAAGGGAAATGGGTCGGATATTCGCCCATGGGTCTGGATTTGGGCGTTATTCTTGATTCCATTCGTCCGTGTGGTCACACAAGCACGCTATACATGGATCGCGGTGAGCACTGCACACACGGTTTTGGTGCTAGATGTTAATCATCTCACGTAGACACGGAACAGGACACAAGCTGAAGGCATTCTGATTCAGCTTCTATTTGCACACTCTTTACGCATTCGTGTGAACTCAGAAACCAAATATTCTAACAACCGAAATCTCGTCGGCAAGATCAACAACCTTGCCACTTCTGATGTTGCCAATTTAACAGATCTCATGGAAATATGGATCCCCTGTATACCTTAAGCTTTTTATTATCATTATCTGAGGCTCATAGACATCAGTTATACTTTTCCCGCTCCAAGTGGTGTTGGCCATCTGGTTTCTTTATTCTATTCTGGGCTGGAGGTCAGCTTCTTCCGTGTCGCTCGTGCTCTGCTGACTGACCAGTCCGCTCAGCTCTTTCGTTGGCCTTGCAGTGATTTTGGTCACACTACCCCTTCCGTCCTACCTAGCGCGCACGATACAGAGTTTCCAAATATCTTCCAGAAAAAAGGTCAGACTCCAGCATTGCTTCTACAGCCTTGACAAACATGCACGTTAGATGGATGCCAGAGTCCAGGAAGTCACTGAAAGTGAGCATGCCAGCCAGCATTGAGCAGTTGCCTCATGGTTCTGCTAACAATAAACGTCTTGCCTATGATCAAGTGGTTTGCCTGGGAGGACAAAGCTAAAGACGACATCGCAATGAAACGCCAAGAAGAAGTCACCGCCATCCGAAATGTCCGTCTGCTCATCGTCTTGAACAATGCCATCAAGTAAGTTGTTATGTTTATTGGCATCGTCACGCCTAATCTATTCAGCTTCATCGTCCCTCTACTCACAATGCTCGCTACCTTTTCCACCTACGTCAGTGTACTGAAATGCCTTTTTGTCATGTCAAAACTTACCGCCTTCAAGACTCTCGTGATGAAGCAAGGATTGACAGGTAGCTAACACCTTTCGAGCAGGTTTTTTTGGTAAATTAATTGTGCTGCAGCTTCCGTCGTGTTTACATCCCTAGCTGTATTTGAAGGGATCCTTCGTTTGCAGATTAGGAGTGTGATGAACAATATCCCTCCAATCGTTCAAGGTACGAAAAAAAGGACAACTCAACTTACCGTGCCTCACCCCGGCTGCAGGCAAGGTGTCGTTGGACCGAGTGGACGAATTTCTCAGAACTGTGAGCAGCGTGTAGTCCTGGAACGCCTCGGTCTTGACAGAATGAGCAGACGGAGCTATTGGATACTTACTCTGTGGACGACCATTCAACTCGTGTCCTGGGAAACACTGACACCAGGATTGGCTTCCGAGACGCCGAATTTTCGTGGTCAAGTCAGGACGACGATTCGTCCTTCCGGCTTCGGATCAACTCAGGCTCTGAGGTTATCTTCCAACCTGGTGTTGTCAATCTTATTGTTGGGCCAACCGGCGTGGTTCGTTACACTCGTGCTCTGGCGCGCACTTGCTGATATTTCGTTTAGGGAAAGACGGCTGTTCTTCTCGCGTTACTCGGTGAGTTGCATCTATTCAGCTCCCTAAAGATGTTTGATTTGTCTTCCAGGAGAAATGCACTTCACTCCTGCTGGACCGGAACCTTGGTTGAATCTCCCCCGCGAGGGTGGCATTGCCTACGCATCGCAACAGTCTTTCGTTCAAAATGAAAGTATCAAAGTGAGTGGATGTTCACGGTCTCTCGCTGCAAACTTATGCATCATTTAGGATAACATCATCTTTGGCAGCCGATTTGACGAGGGGCGCTACAAGAAAGGTTCGTGGGGTTGCCAGAAACTTCTCAATTGAATGACCTCTCCGACCAGTTCTATATGCCTGTGCCCTGTATCCGGATTTGAAGCTGTTGGAAGCTGGCGATGAAACTGAGGTGAGTTGGGTTGGGGTGTTGAGGTTCTTCGC